ACCAGTTCCTACTGACCGAGGACCAGTACATTCTCAGAGGTACTGGTCCTGCTGGACCAGTGCCTCCAATTATCATTTTTTCACCCTTGGCTACGGCCCTTGCAGACGTAGACAGAAAGTACACACACACAGAGTAGTATGAGAGAACCTGATTACAGTCATAGATACAAACACAGAACATGAGAGCTGTAATCTGCTGGCTACTATAACAGCATTGACATATATCCCTCCAGAATTGTTTTTACACACACAACACACACACAGCGCACACACACACACACACACACACACATCCACACACACACACACACACACACACACACACACACACAGCACACCAACACATCGTATAGATATCAAAGCCTATAATACATTATTATTATTAGCATTAATAATTACGTCATTATTAGTTATTAATTACGTCATGAATACAGTATATAATGCATTGTAATAGGCTATTGCAGATATATCATGCTAGCAGTAATAAACCCAGACAATTAGAAACAGGTCTGCGATCTATCAAACTATTGATCCTAGATCCGAGTAGTGAGCACGCAGAAAGCAAAAAAACATACCACACGCACGAAGCCATCATACTGAAATTGAAAGATATCTAGAATGGCAATCAGAGTAAATAAAACAACCCAATTTTTATAATTCATCTTACAGGTTTTAATTTTTTAGAACAAAACATTAATTTTTAAACAGAATTTCATTTACTCTTGCTGGCAATGTAAACCATCGCGTGATCTATAAAAATATACACTGTGTGGGATAACAATGGATGCGCCTGCTGTACAATTGAGTAAAATATATTGGAGAATGAAATACAGGTACATTGTCATAGAGCCAAATCAGAAGTCCCCGGCCCGCCACGATTGGAAAAGTGACTATACGCACGGCGGCGTGTGGCGACTCAATATCGCTAAGCGCAGGGCGGCCGTGCATGATAAGATTCAAGTATGGCTATACGCACGGCGGCCGTAAGGCGACATCAATTATGGCTAGCGAATGAAGGAAGGGGAGAAGGGAGAAGCTGGTGGAGAAGAGGAAGGGGAGAAGGGAGAAGGTGATGAGAAGGAGGAAGGGAGAAGGTGGTGCGAAGACAGGAGGAAGGGGAGAAGGAAAAAGGTGATGAAAAGGAGGAGGGGAAAGCTGGGGAGAAGGAGGAGGGAAGAAGGGAGAAGGTGTTGGAAGAAGGAGGAGGGGGAGAAAGCTGGTGGGAGAAGGAGGAGGGGGAGAAGTGTTGGAGAAGGAGGAAGGGAGAAGCCGGTGAGAAGGAGAAAGGGGAGAAGGAAGAAAGGTGGGGGTGGAGAAGGAGGAGGGGAGAAAGCTGGTGGAGAAGGAGGAGGCGAAGATGGAGAAGTGTTTGGAGAAGGAGGGGAAAGCTGGTGGAAAAGAACGAGGGGAGAAGGCTGGTGGAGAAGGAAAGGAGGAGAAAGAAATGAGGTGGTGGAGAGGGGACAAGCTGGTGGTGTGGTGTTGTGACACCGGGGATACGATAGAAGGAGCGGGCAGAAGGAGAAGGTGTGAGGAGGGGGAGAAGCTGTGGAGAAGGAGGAGTGGAGAAGCTGTGTGGAGAAGGAGAGGGAGAAGGGAGCTGGGTGGAGGAGGAGGGGAGAAGGGAGAAGCTGGTGGAGAAGGAGGAGGGGAGAAGCTGGTGAGGAGGAGGGGGAGAAAGGGAGAAGGTGGTAGAGAAGGAGCGGGAGAACTGGTGGAAGAAGGAGGAGGGGGAGAAAAGGGAGAAGGTGGTGAGGAGGGGGAGAAGGGAGAAGGTGGTGGAGAGGGAGGAGAACGGAGAGGTGGTGGAGGAGGGGGAAGAAAGGGAGAAGGTTGTGGAGAGAAGGAGGCGATGAGAAGCTGTGGAGAAGGGAGGGAGGGGAGAAGGGAGAAGTGGTGGAGGAGGAGGAGAAGGGAGAAGGTGGTGGAGGAAGGGGGAGAAGGGAGAGGATGCTGAGGGGGAGAAGGGAGAGGATGCTGAGGGGGAGAAGGGAGAAGGTGGTGGAGGTAGGGGGAGAAGGAGAAGGTGGTGGAAGGAGAGGAGAAGGAGAAGGTGGTGGAAAGGGGGAGAAGGGGAGAAGGTGGTGAAGGCGGGGGAGAAGCTGGTGGAGAAGGAGGAGGAGAGGAAGGAGGGGAGAAGGGAGGCTGGTGAGGAGAAGAGGGGAAAGGAGAAGGGGATAAGGAGGGGAGAAAGGAACTGGTGGAGGAGAGGGAAGAAAGGAGGAAGTGTGGAGGGGCAGAGAAGCTGGTGGAGAAGGATGGAAGGGAGACAGGGAGAAGGTGGTGGAGAAGGAGGAGGGGAGAAGCTGGTGGAGAAGGAGGAGGGGAGAAGCTGGCGGAGAAGGAGGAACAGGGGACGAAGGGAGAAGGTGGAGTGGAGAAGGAGGAAGGGAGAAGCCCTGGTGAGAAGGAGGAAGGGGAGAAAGGAAGAAGGTGGTTGAGAAGGAGGAGGGGAGACACTGTGAGAGAAGGAGGAGGGAGAAGGGGGAAGGTGTTGCAAGCAAGGAGGAGGGGGAGAAGCTGTGGAGAAGGAGGAGGGGGAGAAGAAGAGAAGGTGTGGAGAAGGAAGGGGAGAAGCTGGTGGAGAAGGGAACGGAGGGGGGAGAAGGGAGAAGGATGGTGGAGGAGCGGGAGAAGCTGGTCAGAGAAGGAGGAAAGGGGAGAAGCTGGTGCGAGAAGGAGGAAAGCGGAGAAAGAGGGGAGACAGGAGCTGGCGTGGGGAGGAGGAGGAGAATGAGAAGCTGTGGAGAAGGAGGAGTGGGAGAAGGGAGAAGGTGGTGGACGAAGGAGGAGGGGAAGAGGCTGGTGGAGAAGAGGAGGGGGAGAAGGGAGAAAGGGTGGTGAGGAGGGGAAGAAGCTAGTGAAAGGAGGAAGGAGAGAAGGCGAGGGGACAAGGGAGCTGGTGGAGAAGGAGGGGGGAGAAGGGGATAAGGAGGGGGAAGAAAGGAGCTGGTGGAGGAGGAGGGGAGAAAGGAGAGGGGCTGGAGGAGGGGGAGAAGCTGGTGGAAGAAGGAGAAGCGGGAACGAAGGAGAAAGGTGGTGGAGAAGGAGGATGGCAGAAGGCTGGTGAGGAGGAGCGGGGAGAAGCTGGTGGAGAAGGAGGAAGGGATGAAAGGACGGAGAGAAAGGGAGCGGCTGGAGGTGGAGGGACGAAAGGAGAAGGCTGGCGGAGAAGGAGGAGGGGAGCGAAGCTGTCGTAGGCCTTCCCTCCTTCTCCACCAGACTTCTGCTTCACCACCGAGCTCTACCAGCTTCTCCCCTCCTCTCCACGCAACCTTCTCCCTTCTCGCCCCTCCTCCTTATCCACCAGTTCCGGCCTTCTTCTCCAGCGGACACCTTCTCTCTCTGCCCGGCTCCTCCTTCTCTCACCGCTATCTCCCTCCTCCTTCATCGCAATACCGTCTCCCTTCAGCTCCTGCCCCTACTCACCAAGCTCTCCCTTGCTCCTCTGCCACCACCTTGTTCCTTTCTCCCTTCGCTCCTTCTCCACCAGCTTCTCACGACTTCCTCAGCTTCCCACCACCTTCTCACCTTGCTCCCTTCCTCCTTCTCAGACACCAGCTTTTCCCCTCCTACCATTCTCCTGCCACCCCAGCTTCTCCCCTCCTCCTTCTCCCACCAACTTACTCACCTTCTCCGCTTCCTCTTCTCCGCCAGCTTCTCCCCCTCGCTCCATTCTCCAACACCCTTCTGCCGCTTCACGGTGCCCTCCCCCTCTCCACAGCTTCTCCCCATTCTCCATTCTCCCACCACTTGTGTCCTTCTCCCTCCTCCCTATACTCCACCCAGTCTCCCTTCCTCCTTCTTCAGCCACCGTCTCCCTTCTCCCCTTCCCGCTTCTCCAACCAGCTTTTCCCCCTCCTCCTTCTCACAGCAGCTCTGCGCCCTCCTCCTATCTCCACCACCTTCTCCCTTCTCCCGCTTACCTCCTTCTCTCACAGCTATCTCACCCTCACCTCACCACCTTCTCTTTCTCCCGCCTGCCCCTCCAGCACAGCTCCCTTCTCCCCGCTCGTTAACCCTTCTCGCTTCTCCCCTGCCTCCTCCACCACGTCCCTTCTCACCCCTCCTTCGCATCGCTTCCTCCTCCTCCACCAGCTTCATCCCTTCTCCCCCTCCTCCTTCTCCACCAGTTTCTCCCCGCCTCCTTCTCCCACAACCTATCTCGGCCTTTCCCCCTCCTCCTTTCCACCAGCTTCTCCCCCATCCTGCCTCCAGCCAGCTTCTCCCCTCCTTCTCTCACCAACCTCTCTCTCCCCCTCCTCCTCCACCAGCTTCTCCCTCCTCATTCTCCAACACGCTTACTCGCCTTCTCCCTGCCTCCTTCTTCACCAGCTTCTCCCCTCTTTCCCACCACCGTCTTCCCTTCGCCACCAGCTTCTCCCTTCTCCCCTTGCCTGCATTCCTAGCCAATATTGAGTCGGCCATAAGTAGCTTTGTCTGTATCTGTACATGTATATGTAAGTGTTAGTAGCTTTGTCTGTATCTGTATCTGTACATGTAAGTGTTAGTAGCTTTGTCTGTATCTGTACATGTATATGTAAGTGTTAGTAGCTTTTCCTGTATCTGTATCTGTACATGTAAGTGTTAGTAGCTTTGTCTGTATCTGTACATGTATATGTAAGTGTTAGTAGCTTTGTCTGTATCTGTACATGTATATGTAAGTGTTAGTAGCTTTGTCTGTATCTGTACATGTATATGTAAGTGTTAGTAGCTTTGTCTGTATCTGTACATGTAGATGTAAGTGTTAGTAGCTTTGTCTGTATCTGTATTTGTATTTGTTAGTGTCAAGCAATAGCTTTGTCACACGCTCTCCGTGTCTCCGTGCCTGACAGATTTTGCGGCGGAGCGTGAAGCGATCTTCGGAGGTGTGCAGCCGGAGCTGAGCGCCCACTATGTGCCCTATGGCGTCGACGTGCAGATTGTTGACGTCCTGCACGGGCACGCAGATGATCCAGCCCTCAGCCGCGCCGCCGTCACGTGCGCGCTCACAGAACTCACCGACTGTCACCGAGTGTCGCAGGGACCCTTTTTGTTGGTAAGCTATCCTAAACGTCAGCTGTACGTTTTTAATCTTCACGGTTGAGTCACAATTAACACTGATAGATCTATCCTTCTTGTTGGTAAGCTATCCTTCTTGTTGGTAAGCTATCCTTCCTGTTGGTAAGCTGTCCTTCCTGTTGGGTATGATATTCTTCCTGTTGGTAAGCTATCCTTCCTGTTGGCAAGCTATCCTTCCTGTTGGTAAGTTATCCTTCCTGTTGGTAAGCCATCCTTCCTGTTGGTAAGTTATCCTTCCTACTGGGTATGATATGGTTCCTGTTGGTAAGCTATCCTTCCTGTTGGTAAGCTATCCTTCCTGTTGGTAAGCTATCCTTCCTGTTGGTAAGCTATCCTTCCTGTTGGTAAGCTATCCTTCCTGTTGGTAAGCTATCATTTCTGTTGGTAAGCTATCCTTCTTGTTG